AGGCGTCTGTCAGCAACGGCGGCGACGCGGAGAACGGGAAGGAGCTGGTGGAGCTAAAGGTTATTTGGAACAAGAACAAGTACGACGTGAAGTTTTGCCTGGACAGCACGGGGGCCGAGCTGAAGCAGAAGATCCACTCGCTCACAGGTCTGTCGAGGCTGTCGCCGCCTCTCCCGCCTCAGCCCGCGCCTCCTCTCGCCGCTGCCGGGCGGTCTCGTAATCGTTATTCTTGCCTCTTAGGCCTTCCACCTGCTATGCAGAAAGTTATGTTCAAGGGACTTCTACCAGAGGAGAAAACGTTGCGGGAAATCAAAGTAACAAATGGAGCGAAAATAATGGTTGTTGGCTCTACTATCAATGATGTTTTAGCAGTAAATACACCCAAAGAAGCTGCTCAACAGGAGGTCAAAGCTGAAGAGAATAAAAAGGAGCCGCTTTGCAGACAAAAGGTTATTGATAATCTCAATAATTCCTGGCATGGGGGAACTGTAGGATTTACGTGGTTCTCTTGTAATACTCTGCAGCCGCCTTTGGGTCCTGTTCCTCCTCAAAGCAGGCTGGGGTTTCTTTTATCACAGCTAAGCGATGGACGGGCTCTGTGCAGAGGAGTTCTAGCAGCAGAAAAATGTTTAGTCTAGCGGAGGCTGGGGCCTTGCAAGATACTGCTGGTGCTAGATACAGCCTAGCAGTTCAGACAAGTAATGGTAAATAATAGAAATAGTTCATGGTTATTAGCTCAACCGCAGTTAATTTTGTCTGAAAACTAACCGATTTTTGTTGGTATAAAAGAATTTGATCTCCAAAAGCTGCCTTTAAAACAAACACCAAGAGAGCAGTTCCTTCAGCTGTCCCAGCACTGAAGGGAATGTGGATGTTGAATATTCCTCTCGCATCTTGAAGTGCTGCCTGCGAATAGGGAGTGAAGTGCAGTGCAGTGAAGTCGGTTTGGTGGTGGTGGTGCTGCGGTGTAGTGGGGCTGATAAAGGGTTTTCAACTGAAGGTATTACTGGCCCCGTACCTTCCTCAAAATAAATTTGATTTAAAATTAAATAGTGCATCATTGAACTGCAACCTTTATGAAACATGCTTTTGTTTTTCTATAATTTATCATAGCTCACGTTCACTGTAAGTTCCATCATTGTTTAAAGGTACTCGGCAACTTACAAGCTGTGAGCATGGTTTTCTTAGTTACTACTGCTCTAATCTGTTCTGGTTTGTTGCTGTGTTGCGGTATGTTGCACTGTCAAATGTGGAGGGTTTTCTGCCGTTCACTGGATATAACACTGGACTGTTAAAACTGTCTTGCCAAATGCCAACTATGTGATTCAGCATGTACAATATTAAAGTGGGGCTTGGGATTTAAAATTTTTCTTTAATAGACATATATTTATGTATATTGTAGAAGGGATGTTACCCTTTGCCTTATATTGGGGTTTTAGTCATTTGTATAATTTCTTTAGGCTGTTGTAAAAAGTGCTCGGTTAACTTTGAAAATTAACCATTTCCCGTGTGATAAATGACTGGGAATAGTCCTTAACTGTCTGTTAGTGCTACTGGGATACAGTCAAAGGTGCAGCTGGAAGTAAATTGAAAAGCTCTGTTGCATTTCTGTAAATTCTAATTTCTGTTTTTATATTGTAGCAACACAGAAAAGTACTGGATAAAGGAAAACCTGATGATGTGATGCCTTCTGTTAAAGGTGTTCAGGTAAGTAAACAAGTACTTGAGACATTGTCGTAATCAGGAGAGAGAGACTTTTTTGTTGTTTGAGACCTTTCTTTGCTGGTTCAATCGTTCTTTGCTATCTTAGCAGAAAACTGGAAAGATGGATCATCCTTATATTTAAAAAGTTAAGAGAATATAGCTTTTCCTGTTAAAGTCCTTCACCGTGACTTACTATGTTGCCTCTTTGTAGGAGCGCCTGCCAACAGTGCCATTATCTGGCATGTACAACAAGTCGGGGGGGAAAGTAAGATTGACCTTTAAACTTGAGCAAGACCAGCTATGGATTGGTACAAAAGGTGAGCAACTCTAAAACTCTGAGATGAATAATTGATAATTGGGCTACAAGTGAATTGTGTGACCTAGAAATAGCTTCTGGTGTGACTAAATTGTGTTTAGGGAATAGTGTTGGTATTGTAATACTTCAAAACTAAGTTTTGCTTCCTCTTCTCAAATGCCATTCTCCCAGATCATTGAATGTTACTGGATATTTTACTTCTGTTCTTGAAAAACTTGAGTTCAGTTGTGCCTGTAGACTAGTGTTCCAATCTGCTATTCATAGCTGCAAATGAAATTATATTTGGCATTTCTAGCATATCTCAAAAGCACTTCATAAACATTGGTTTGCTGCCAACATCGCATAGAGGCTCAATGACTTGGCTGAGACTCAAAACGGAATCTTAGGACTGGGATTAAAACTAGGAGTGCTGGCATCTCTGTCATTATCTGTCCTTCCGACCAAAATTAGTTGCGTGTCTTGTTTCAGTGATGTACAACTGCAGAAACTATGGCATGTGTTGCAGTGCAGAGGAATCAGTTTACCGTCTTGAGTGGTGCCAGAAGGAGCTGAAAGCGCTGTGGTGATAACGTGCATTGCTGAGGACGTCTCAGATAACCCCTTGCTTCCAAAGGAAACTGTGTTCCTTTAGTTTGACCAAGATGGGACAATATTATAATGATGAGCAAGAGGAATAGAAGTGCTTGCTCACTGTCCCAGTAAAGTAACCTAATTGGATGGTAATATTAGCTTTGGATGGCACCTCCAGCTGCTATGTTATTTCCAAAGTAAGCAGAAATCTCAAAAGTTTTTGACCTTTCCTTTGTAGGACTTGTAGACTTGACTGTGAAGATTTTTCTGGCTTTAAAACCTCTATCAGTACCAGTTGCAGTGATTTTTCTCCTGGGCTAAGTGATGGAGCCAAGACGTTGTTCTTTTTCCTCTGTAGGTTAGGCAGCCAGATCTTTTTGTTATTGATAACGTGTTCGAAATACATGATTAGTATTCAGGTAATTAATCCTCTTCCTTCACCTTCTAGATGAGTTTCAAGTTTAGTATTTCTGAAGTGTTCTAGATTAGTGTTTCGTAAGCTGTGAAATTTGATTCTTCTTGTAGTCACCTGTCTTTCATGTAACCTGTTTCCCTACTTCTCAAAATTAGCAGCGGCTTGCTTCCTCTAGGGAATGTTTGTAATTGCTGGCTGTTGTTGGGAAAAACTCCTTCCTGCTCTGAGAAATTCATGGCAGATACCAGCGCAAGAGCTAGAATAAAACCTACTGGGTGTTAGCGCAGGTTTTTGCTTGCTAGTCCTGGAAGGTTGAAACTGATTCTTTCCACACACAGCTTCCCTGTGCTTCACAGATCACTTGGTATGTTTTTGTAATCTAAGGTTTGGTTACAGGTAGATGTTTCTCAGTTGCTCTGTGTCATTTTCATAGAGGTGGTGATAATATGGATCTGTCTGTGGCTGAGATATTGTGAAGAGTAATTGATTTGCAGGATGCTAAATGAGTAAAAAGTAAGATTTTACTCAATGATTGAATGTTGTGAGTCTGGAATGGTTTGGAGTCAGGTTAGTTACAGCACTGAGAATATTTGTCTTTACTAAGATTATCTCCCTGTGTGCTGTTTTTAGATAGGTGGGTTTTTTCTGGGTCACACAAATTAGGTATTTCCAAGGAACTCGTGGTTCTGTTTCTCCTTTGTAGAGTGTTTATGGTTTTCGCTGTCTTATAGCCGAGAATATAATTTTAGGCTGGAACTGAAAGGAAGGATCTTGGAGTTAAGTTTTCAGAAAGAAGTGAGGACAGAACTGAGACAGAAAAAGTCTGCCCTGAACCGTATAGTTTGTCATTCTTGTTGGTTACCTCTGGCTGGCTGACAATAGTCTGTTGTGTAATTGTAGTAATCTTTTTTTTTGTTTGTTTCTCTTTTTGTTTCTTTCCCTGTTTTCTTATTAACATTTCCTTCCCTGGGCTTTTAGAGTAATAGTTGAACACTGCCTCAGGATAAAACCAGGACTAGGCTTTCGAAGAATTAGTTAGCCTATCTTTCAGCTTTTTCAGCCTTGTCATTTCTGTAGAGCTTAATGTAATCCTCAGTAGTTAGTCTGAATGTTCTTACACGTGGACCAGCTTTCACTACGGTGGGTGAGTAATCCCGCTGGTCTGACTGGAGTTCCTATGGGGAAACATCGGATAAAGCCAGGGTTTTCTCCTCACTGAATTTATTCCTGAATCGGGTACACTGAGTACTTAATGTGATGCGGAGACATAAAATGTGAGGAACTGTGTGATCCAGTTTTGGATTCCTTTAAATTATTAGAGTGCCAGCTGTGGGGTATGTGGTAACATGGAAGACGGGCTTCTCAGCAGCAGGTATCCAAACTTTACCCAGTGAGGAGACTGCTGATATGAGGAGCTTTTGGAAGTAATGGAGGTGGTATTTGAAATTAATATGAAATACTGCTTCCTCATGTATCAGAAATAATGCTTTGATCAATTTTAATGTAGAGAGAACAGAAAAGTTACCCATGGGGTCCATTAAAAATGTGGTGAGTGAACCTATTGAAGGACATGAGGATTATCACATGATGGTAAGTAATGTCTCTAATTATATCAGCCTAATTACTTCATGCCAATACACAGAAATAAGGCTTTCAAAACATAGCAAGCCAGAGACCGATAGTAATACCAGCCTTGTGTTGTGGAAGATGGGAATGTGGACATGGTCTGCTGTGTAGATGTTTTGGGTGGCATACTGAGTATCTGCTACTTTGTGGAAATCTGGGCTGATTTCATGTAAACATTAAGTGCTTAAGCGTGATTTCACATCCTCTGTCTTGTGACAGCGATAAAACAGTAAAAATACTCACAGTATAGTTCATGATTTCTTAATGTTAGTGATACTTCCCTATATCTAGTTTAATTTCTAGTTTCCATTGTATTTATATAAATAACAGGCCTTGCTGGAGGTTTAAAAAAAAGTAGCGATTCGATGCTGTAATATTTTTTCCCCATATGTAATTTCCTGAAAAACTGGTATTTGTCTAGAAAAGTAACACATTTAAGAGAGCTGTGCTAATGCTACTGAATTTTTGGCTGTTTATTTTAATCTGTGGGTTTTTCTGAGGTCTTGCTTTCCGAAGACTAAAAGTAACTAACTTTTAATGTTGAAGTAAGTTCCTTTTATATAAGTCTGTTTCCTTCTTTAGGGGAATAAAGGGGAAATGTTATACCTTAAAATTATTGTCTGCAGGAGGGTGCTGACCTAGTCTTTGTCCAAATACTTGATTTTTGATCACCCATGTAAGAAAATGTCCTCTTCATAACATGATACAATAAACTCTTATCCTAAAGTAAGGATAGAGGTTATTGGCATGCCATGGTGCTCCTCTCCTATTTATACTGACAAAAGTTGAGAATAGAACATTATGTCTAAATATAAAATTCTATGAAATGTTATGACTATGAAAACATGGTCATTGTCTTAGTTCCTGTTTGGCTTCTCAACTCTGTGCATGCTGCTCATTTCTTTAGAGACTTTGAGTTACACTTCAGATTCTGTCTTTCAGAATAATTTCCTCATGTTCTTGAAACTGGCCAAGAGTTTTCGTTGCTGCTATGATATCGTAAAAGGAAAGGGCCCATCATTTTAATTGATACTTTGCAGTTCTTGTTTCTCCGAGGAATGCTTTTCTCATTGCTTACCAAATATATGTAGTATGCACTAAGTGTTTGAAGGAGGCAGTAGGTATAACAGACTTGTCTGATTTTTGTAGTGGATAAGCTGTATCTGTCCACTGGTATAAGCTGTTCTGTTTCCCATTTGTAAATGTTGTCATTTTTAACTTTGCAGGCATTTCAGCTGGGCCCAACAGAAGCATCTTACTACTGGGTCTATTGGGTACCAACTCAATATGTTGATGCAATCAAAGACACGGTGCTGGGAAAGTGGCAGTATTTTTGAAAGCACGCTCACCTCTGGCACAGGAAAATGACACAAAGCTAAGGACACTGCTGGGAGAGGCCTCCAACATCCCTGGATGTGATAGTCCTGGAACTTATTAATAAAATATGATAAACGAGGCATTGATGGAAGCCAGAGGTGATGTTCTTTCACCATTAGTTTACTTTTAACTTAAAAAAATTTCACCATCCCTTTTCTGCAGTCAGCTTCAACCATATTTAAAGCAAATACAATGGAAATCAATAAATCTTAATTCACAAAATATTGTGTGTAATACACTTAAATCTGCTGAGAGTTGATCTTCCAATTTAGTTTTAAAAAGAAAATATTACAATGTATTATTGAGGATTTTTTACATGGTTTGAACAAAAACAAATATTTTCATAATCTTTCAGTTACAAGCGTTAGATTTAATTTAGTTACTTGGTTGTGACTGAGAATTTCAGAAACAGTTTTTTAAAAATAAACTTTAAACCATATGCAAAATTGATGTTTAGTAAGCCATATTCTGCTGGCCCTTTTATTTCAGGTTTGAATCTTTGGTAGCAAAACTCTATTTTTTATTTTTTTTCTTTTAATATTTTTTTAACCCAAAGATGCCCTGCTTTGTTGTTTTGTTTTTTCTCTCTCTTTTTTTTTTTTTTTTTCCTTCAATACTAGAAGCTCTGGGTTGGTTCTCTGTGTAGCATGTTTGGAGCAGACGAATACCACTGTGGATGTTTTGTAATCGCAATGACCCAGCGCTGCTTACTGTCCCCTTTCATGCCATGTTAGTTGTTCCCCTCCCACCTGCATACCTCTCTGGTCCTGTTCTGCCTCCCGCCCTGGGGGTGCTACATTTTTCAGAGCATTTTCTTCATCGTGCATGTTGCAGTCCAGAATCATTTTGCAGCTGTTGCGATGTTTGTTTCCTGTTTGACTGGAAAAAAAAAACCAACAAAAAACCAAAAAAACCAACCCTCTAGAGTGCACTGCATAATGCTGTCTGGCATGAGCGGGGTGAAGCAGTGATGCAGATCTTGCAAAGGGAGTGAACCAAAGAGACCTTCCTGCCTTGTTTGGGGGTGGGGGGAGCAGGGAAGAGGGAAGCTCGGATGCCGCTTTGGATCCTAAAATAACGGCAGTAGTCTTTTGTGACCTGTATTTAAAAATTTGTAGTTCTCTTATTCAGTGAATCTTACCAAATTTAGGATATCTGTCTAGCAACTGATCTTTTGAAATTTAAATCACCTTTCAGCTTTTCTCTTGCTCAAGTTTACAGGAAGTTCTTGCATCTCGTCCTGTCTGAAATAATGCTCCTTGCCTTTGGTTTGTGATGTTCTGCGTGTCATCTCAGCAATTCACGGGCCATTTATCTCAGGTTTTCTGAATGGACCTTTCAGTCCTGAAAAGGTGCACACCCTTAACAGATTGTATTGTGCAGTCAGACTGAATCAGTCTTGCTCTGTGTTAAACCTGGATCTAACAGATTGTTGGTTTTTGGTTTGTTTGGGTTTTTTTAACACTGTAGGCTTGATATTGCTCAATGTAAGTAGCTCAACATTTTGTGAAACTCATGGAGAAATAGCCTTGTAGGAATAGCTGATCTTAATATATTCCATGTCCATTTTTCACTCTCCTTGAAACAGCCCAGTTGAAACTCAGCAGGTGCAAATTCCCAAATGAGTATTTATTTTTATTTTAGAGACTGGGAAAAGCGTTCACTTTATGGTATAAGATTACATATTTACCTGTAGACTCTAGATAGCAACATAAGCAGCTTTTGCTTTGTATTTTCAGTGAGAACATTCATGCGATACGAATTTTAAAGGTGTTTCATATCCTACTTACAAACTACCAATGTGCTTGTTACTCTTGTAGCTTGAGGTATTTCCTTTCTGTGTACAAGCCACCAGCAGTGTGTCTTGACATAAATGCATTGAGACAGGAGCTCTTCCTGCAGCGGTGCTGTGTCAGCTCCCTGGAACAGCCCCCTCCTGACGCTCGGAGCGAGTGCAGGTAGTGGATTTGGCATTAGTTAATTGGAGATAACATTACAACTTAAGTGCAGCTGTCACACTTCTTATTACCTCGTTGCCAATCCTGGTGTTAAGGCTTAAACTTAAAATTTAGTACCTGGCAGACGGTGTACGCGCTACAGTATAATGAAAATGGGTGACATTAGCTTTTTCTGGCGCTTGGGGTTACCTTAGCACTTGCTGTCTTGTTGGTTCTGTGATTATCAGCTCCCAATTGGTACTTGACTTGCTTGGACCTGTCTGTACATCCATTCATACTCCATTTTCCTTTCCCATTCTTTCGTTTGCTTGGTCCTTGAGAAGACATGTAGCTTAGTTCCAGCTCCTCCCCAGAGCTCCTGTGGCTTCTGTGCTCGATGCAGCGACCCGGGTGAGTACGCTCTGCTGCTAGTGCCGCGGGAGGGCAGGTACCCGATCTATCGCTGCCGAGGCAAGAGGGGCACCTTGGGCATGGGGCACAGGGCAGCCTTGAACGTTCCTGTCTGCTCCTTTGCCAAGGGTACGATTATTCTGCATCCTGTGCCAGGTACAATCAATCATCTCAAAAGAAAATGAATATAAAAACCATTGGTTACAAAGCAATTTTAAACAGGGAGAAGAAAATACTATAAGCTAAGAAAAATGTGATCCTATTTAGGTGCTGCTTTTCAAGTTGCATTTGATTTGAAAAAGGAAATTGTTTCACCTTTTTGTTCTATGTGCAAAGTTTGAATTAAAATACAGGAAAGTGATACATAAAATGCTTTAACTGGCTATAATATCTTAGGTTTCTTGGGAGTTCTTTGAAATGAACATTCCAATCGAACTTAGCAACACTGCTTTTAAGATCCTTTCTCTTTTGGAACAATGTGAAGCTTTATCTTCTGGTATATACCGATTTTTCCAAGGCAATTATTGACATTAACTAATGATCATTAACATCTAAGAAAACACCATCTCTCCAGTTCAGTAGTGTCACAGCTTGCCTATCTGGGGAGCTATTTGCTAGCCTCTCTCTTGACTTTGGATTTTACTCTGATATCTGTGATTGTCTCCAGGGCAGATTCAGCATAACAAATGGTCCTGTGGAGGAATTTGGCAAGTAGTCCTCAGTAAGACACAAGTGTTGTGTGTAAAGTGCAAATATAATCAGTATTTTGAGTTGGCTGATAAAGATGTTTTCAGATCCAACATATTATCTTCCGTAGGAAGTTTATGGTAATACCTGGTGATTCTTGTGCAAAAGTTTATTTCAGTTAAATTACAATTCAGTGATCTCCTTTCAATGGAGGTGGATTCCGTATTGTATATATGTGTAATTCCCCATGAACATTTTGGGGTACGATTCCTTGTGAAGTTGTATTGAGTGCTTTGCTGGATTTACTAATTGGGGATTAAAGCATCCGTAACACAAACGTGGCTTTCCACAGAACAAAGCCAGTGTTTCCCACGCCGCGCTGGCAGCTGCTCCCAACACCCGGGCAGCGTCTTCCTCCTCGCTGCCGTCCTGTCAGGGGGAAGTCCTGCTGCGGTCCCTGAGCTCTCCGTATGCCGTTTGATGGCATTGAGACTTGAGGCTCACCTGTATGGCATTCCTTTCCTTTCTCCGTGCCCAGCACTGTGGGTTCTTCTGTCCTTGTCCCGAGTTGAGTATTCCTTCCTTCTCTGTGCATCGTGAGCGTAAACAGTTCCTGGATTAGTATTGCATTAGGAATGCAAAAGTATATCACTAAACCTCGTTTGGGTTTGGACAGAGACTGTATCTTGCAGGAAAATCTTGTATTGCAAGTGTTTCATATCAAGTTTAAGACTAAAGTAAATCATTAATTTCCATTAATGACACTGTTTGGTGAGAAATGTGTAACGAAAATAAGGGAGTTATGATGATGAAAGAGGAAAAAGTGATCTGAATTCACAGAACTAGATAAGAAGCTGTTAACACGCAATACTATAACTGGTATCACGCACACAGCCTGCTCAGTTTTGTACTTGGTGCAGTTTGTATCTGTTGCTTCTTCATACTTTAAGGGCCAAAGAGAAACAACTCCCTTGCAGTGACACTGTCAAGGTGCCATGTTGTGGCGGTCTGTTCCGTGCTCTCCCCTTCCCGACCGCAGTGTTCCCTTACAACCGGTGGTGATGCAGCTGTGCGGGCACAGGCACAGCGTGTGCTCCCTGCTCCGGGTGCTCGCTGTGCCAACTCAGCGGAGCAAGGTTTGTTTCCAAACTTTCCTTCTTTTGTTTACTTTTTCTGTCTCTGTAACTTGATTTTTTTTTTCCAATGGAGCTGTTTTCATTTTCAGTTTTGTACTCCAGCCTTTCACCACCTGTTAGGATTAGCTTGTTAGCATCTTGTTTTGTTAATTAATGTCCTTGTCACTGGGGTGGGGAGGGAGGAGAGGGACCAGGAGAGCTTGTAGCAAGTCTTGTATGAAACATATGGCTGTTTCACCTTCTAGCCAAGGATTCGCTTATCTGTGGCTCATGGAAGTTCACTATGTCTTACCGTATTCTAAGCAATTCATTCTTTGGTTTTATATTAAAAAAAAAAAACTTAGATGTTTGTGTCCACTGCAGATTTATTTTAAATGGAATATGTAAGTACCATGTATTACGGTATTTTTAAATAATCTATTGCCTATTTCAGGGGAGGGGGAGATGACAAATATTTAGTCTTAGATTTGCACTGCTGGATTTTTTTAAGTGTAACCTTGACTGGTTATCCTATTGTTTTATTCTGTAAGATTAGTCTTACGAATTAAAGTTTGATAATTAAGTATTTCTGCCTTTGAGTGTTTCAACATTCTGTAGCAATGGTTTGTAGTTAGTTTCTTTGTAGAAAGCTGGATGCAAGCGGAAATCCATGGGAACCCATACTCGTTGTCACGTCTGATGTCATCGGCACCTTTCTCCCAGGGCGGGGATTTGGGTATACTGCTGCCATGTATCACTCCATACAAAAAGGCTGTGAATTACAGGAAAATTATTCTTTAGCTCCCTGTCCAAAACCAGGATTTTACTATCTTTTTGAACTGTACATGTCCTTGTCGTGCTGAGCATGCTCTCTGTAAGTTATATGTGTAGGCAGCTTGTTGCGACGTTAGAAGTTGCGCTTCTGCGTAACAGCCCGCACCAAGCAGGTGGTCAGGAGCAGCCTGCCGTACCGGGGCTGACTGCGGACGCGGCTTTTTCACGCTTAGCAGATGCTGCTCGTGTTTGCTACTGGCTTTAGGAACTTTCTCTACCCCACCCATTAAAGAAAAAAAAGAGCTGAGGCAGTTCAATAGTGTTATGACTGAAATAAAGTTCAAAATATGTGAGATACAGTTCACCTGATGTGTAGAATTGACAAGTTCTCGGTCAGTTCAGTATCTAGGTTTGCCCTAACTGCAAGGGGCAGTAACTCCTGCGGGTGGGGGAGTTGATTTTTGAAAATCCCTTTCAACTCGTTTGTCTTTTTGGAAGGAGCTCTT